CTGCAGTTTCTACCAGGCTCGATTTCATGTCCTGTTGCTGACCATGGTTATATGGGTCTTTTCTAGGTGTTTTTCTGTTGTTTTTTTTCCTGGAAATTTGTCTTTGTTTTTATTGTAATTTCTGTTTGGTACTGGGAGATGGTCTGTGTAGCTTCCATTCATTCCACTGCCTCTTTGGAATCCCCTTCTTACTCATTCTGATGGTGGTGATCTTACGTAAGTTTACTTTTTTCCAGACAATCAAGCCAAAGACACCAAGCATTGTTCCAGGGTTGGAGAATGTTTTGTGTGATTGAATTAATCAAATAGTCAAGCCATCAGTATTTATTATGTAGTTTTATAAACTAAATACTAGGGATGCAATGTTAAATACAACTACACAGAGTCACTGCCCTCATAGAGCTGAAAGCCTAATTGAGGAGAAATATTATTCAAACATTTAATAAAGAAATATAAAATGAAAGCTTTGATAAGACTTACACATGGGGGTGATTGACTTGATGTAATAGCAGCATTAGACTTTCTAGAGGTGCTGACTTAGCTGAGCTATGAAAAATAATAAGCTAGCCCTGGCCGGTTTGGCTCAGCGGTTAGAGCGTTGGCCTGCTGTCTGGAGAGACCCGGGTTCGGTTCCCGCTAAGGGCGCGTACTTCGGTTGCAGTTTGTCCCCGGCCCTGGTCGGTCGTGTGGGTGGCGGCCACTCGATGTGTCCCTTTCTCGTCGATGTTTCTCTCTCTCTCTCTCTCTCCCTCCCACTCTATCTGTACAAAAATTGCAAAAATATCCTCGGGTGAGGATTAAAAATAATAATAATAATAAGCTAAAGTATACATGAAAAAGCCCCAGTATATGACTACATGGCAGATGGAAGATGGCTAGTCACCTCTGGTGCAGGGAGAAAGGAGAAATTGGGTGCAATGTAAGGATAGAGATGTAAGGGGAGATCAGATTTGCAGGTCTTTTTAGTCCCTATTAAGGATGTTGTTCCTCATTTGAAGGTTTTTAAGAAGGTAGCTAATATAGTAAAACTGGCATATTAGAAAATGTCACTGTGGATATGGTGTGTTGTGAGTGAATTAGAGAAGAAGGGACTCAGGAGATTCCTTAGGAAGCCAGTGCTGTAGTCAGCACGAGAGGCGTTTTCAGTGGCTTGTCACAGTGATAAGGATGGAGATGGAGAGATGAAAGTTTGCAGAAATATTTAGAAGGGACATTTGATGATGTTTTTGCTACAGGGAGCAGAGAGTGAGGTGTCAAAGATAAGTCTGAATTTTGTGGTTTAAATTAACAAAAACTCTGTGTATCTGATGATTGTGTAGGTCTTGACATTTAATAAACTTAGCTCCAATAGTACCTAATGCACTTGCTTCTGAAAATAAAGCAGAAGGTAATAGTTGTGGTTTTAGTTTTTAATTACAATAATCTGCCAGAAGCCTTGACTAGTTTTGCTCAGTGGTTAGAATTTCAACCCTTGGACTGACAGGCCACGGGTTTGATTTCTGGTCAGGGGCACATGCCTGGATTGCAGGTTTTATCCCCAGCCCTGGTTGGGGTCCTACGGGGGACAATCAATCAATGTGTCTCTCTCACATCAATGTTTCTCTCTCTCTCCCATCCTCCATTTCACTTTATCTAAAAATCAATGGAATAATATCCTCAGGTATGATTAACAACACAAATAATCTACCAGAAAAAAATTTGTATCTTTCCCTGGCCGGTTTCGCTCAGTGGTTAGAGTGTCAGCCCACAAACCAGGCAGTCTCAGGTGTGGTTCCCGCTAAGGGCACGTACCTCAGTTGCTGTTTGTCCCCAGCCTCAGTTGGAGTCATGTGGGTGGCAACCACTTGATGTGTCTCCCTCATGTCAATGTTTCTCTCTCTTTTTTCCTCTCTCTCCCTCCTGCTCTATCTGAAGATAAATAGAAAAATGTCCTTGGGTGAGAATAAAAAAAAAAAATATGTTTCCTTTTGCAGAAATAGCAACACTACTTAATATGTAAGCTATGTGTCTATTAAGTAGGGAGGCCAATTATAAACCAAAGTAAAGCCATAAAATGCTAGGTACATCACAGGAAACATTACATTCAGAAATTTCCACATAAATAATTATAGGGAGTTTTGCATATATGTGATCTTTGATATTGTCAGAAATTTTATTACACAATTGATATTTGAGTGGATATGAACAAAACTGATGATTTTGACAATGGCTATTATAAGAAGTATTGCTTATCCAACAACTAATTTATTTTTTGCAAATTCAGAAAGCCTTTTTATCTTTTTCAAGTTTTTCAAATTCAACTCTTTAAAAAAACATTGATCTATTGCCCTGGCCAAATGCTAAGTTCCTTGGAGTGTTGTCCTGTACACCAAAAGTTTTCGGGTTCAATTCCTAGTCAGGGCACATGCCTAGGTTGTGGGTTTGATCCCCAGTCAGGGTGAGCCCAGAAAGCAACTGATCAGTCAGGTGTGTGTGTGTGTGTGTGTGTGTGTGTGTGTATCTCCAGGTGAGGATTAAAAATAAATGTTGATCAATTGCTAAAAGTAAGTAAGTTTTCCTCAAACTTGTCAATATTAACTTCATAAAATGGGATTATGGCAGTACAACTATAATATAAATATACTTTTTTAAAAAATATTTTTTTCTTTTTTATTGATTTTTTAAAGAGAGAGAGGAAGGGAGAGGGAGAGAGCAATAGAAACATCCATGAGAGAGAACATTGACTGGCCGCCTCCTGCATGCCCCCCACTGGGGATCGGGCCCACAACCTGGGCATGTGCCCTGATGTGGAATCGAACCGGTGACCTCTTGGTGCATGGGTCGACACTCAACCACTGAGCCACACCAGCTGGGCATCAGAATACTTCTTGTAACTAAAAATTAATGATAGAAAATAGTAGTGGCATTAGGCTGACTGTTTCTCTCACAGCTTTCCATCTAGACATATTCTTTTATTACATAGAATATGTTAGACATCCAAAATCCTCACTGTATTTCCTGAAGTATGTTTAGGGTCATGGTCTTTTTAAGGGCTTGGTACACATATTCCCTTTTGAAATGAAGACTGAGCGTGTAGTCAGTACGAGGAGAGGCAATATACAAATCCGTTGGCTTTATGTAAAACATCTCATCAGCTTTACATTCTCCTTCTGTTCTGTAGACAAAGACTGACACCTGGAGAGTAGCTGTGGGTCCCAGCTCACGCCACAGCTGGGCTTGATTGATCACAAGTGAGGAAATATCACCTGAAAGCTGGTCCTTCCACTTGACTGTATTCACTTGATTCTCCTCATTCGCTCTAAGCTCCTGCTTTCTGGTTTTCAGACACAGATGATTGGTTCTCGCCTGGCTGCATTTATTCACAAATGCTTTTATATGAGTATGTGTTCCCCTTTGATGCCAAGTACAATTATACTAAGATGAATAAAGGAGAGTTGACATTTATTTTTTAAAAATATTAAATTATGCAAATAAAGCTAAAATGTGGAACTAGTCATTAATTCTGAATCCTGTCCCTTCTGCCCCAAATAATGTCAAATGTACATTCTGTTCCATTTATTCTAAACAAATACTTGGTGTTGACAAATTTTCACGTCTTGTAAAATGAATGTGTTCCTGTGTTATCCTAGAAATTTAGGTAGAGCATTTAATTGATAAGGGATTAGTGCTTTAGAAGTGTCTTGAATTCTTCTAGTGACTGAAGGCATTAGAAGTTTAAAAGCTCCAGTTTAAAAGAGTTACAATCCAGTGAGTAGAGAAGATGATCACTAGGAGATGCAGCTAAGAATCAGCAAGACACATGACATAACACCCGGCCTAAGTAGACATGGGAAAGGGGTGGAATGTTTAGGGAACATTGGGAAGATGGTGATTGCTAACGGGAAGGACAAGCAAGAAGTTAATTTAATCTGGGAAATGTGAAGCTTGAAAAATAGAGGAGTTTAGATTTATTTAAAATTTTTTTTTCTTTATTGATTTTAGAGAGAGAGGAAGGGAGAGGGAGAGAGAGATAGAAATGTCAATGAGAGAGAACATCGACTGGCCACCTCCTGCATGCCCCCCACTGGGGATCGGGCCCACACCTGGGCATGTGCCCTGACTGGGAATCGAACCAGTGATCTCTTGGTGCATGAGTGGATGCTCAACCACTGAGCCATGCTGGCTGGGCAAGGAGTTTAGATTTAAGATTAGGTTAAATGAGTATATATTCAAAGATTTTGAATGGAGCAGGAAAATGATAAATTGTCCCAGAAGGATGGTCATTTTGTCATGGATGTGGAAGAGGTACTTGGAACTGGGGTGGGATGGAACCCAAGAGGAGTTTCTCAGAGTAGGGTCTGGAAAATATCTGCTTGATAATTACCTTGGGTGCTTGTTAAAAACATAAATTCCCGGGCTTCACCCTGTATCTAACAACTAGTACTTCTATAGGCTTTACCATGTCAGCAATTTTACCATGTACTCCAGGTGATTCCAAAAGATTGGCACCTGTTCAGATACGGCTCTTCTCAGCAGTGCATGTTAGAATCACTGAGGGAGCTGATAAAATATCCTGATGATTGGCTATGTCGCTTGGACCAATTATATCAACATTTTTGGAGATGAATTCTGGGCTTTAGTATTTTTTCTTTTGTTTTTTAATGCTCACTGGATTGGAACACTCTGCTAAGGTTGAAATGCACTGAGGTAGAAGTTGTTACAGTGAGCCAGCTGTTGGGTTGTGATCATGTGCCTAGACTTATGGTAATAGAAATGCAGAAGGAATGGGTATAATGGGCATTAGGAGAATAATGGCCAAAATAATTCCACCGTCACTCCTTAAAATATTATTACTTGATGTATTATCTAGGATTTGTGCACGCTTTCAAAAACTGTACTGCTGCAATATTTTTTAGATTAAAACTACTTGCTTTGGCAGGAATAAAATACCAACTAGTATTCTTAATTGTAGTTATTTTTGTCATTAATTGTTTTTTGCTATTATTTAATGACAATTTCAGCACCTGGACTGCAATGTAACTTTGAAAATGGACTTTGTAACTGGAAACAAGATTCAGAAGATGATTTTGATTGGACCAGGAACCAGGGTCCAACTTCAACACCTAATACAGGGCCAATGAAGGATAACACTTTGGGCACAGCTCAAGGACACTACCTCTACATAGAATCTTCAGAGCCACAGGTGTTCCAAAACACAGCTGCTTTACTCAGCCCGATCCTCAGCGCCCCTGGTACAGGAAGATGCACCTTCCGCTTCTATTACCACATGTTCGGAAAGCACATTTATAGGCTGGCCGTTTACCAGCGAGTCTGGAGTAACACAAGGGGGAAGCTGCTGTGGCAGATCTTTGGGAATCAAGGCAACAGATGGATAAGGAAACACCTCGACGTTTCCAGCAGGCAGCCTTTTCAGGTATGGATAACGGGTTTCCTAACGTGCATTGGAAATGCATCATAATGTCTAAGGAATAGGAAAGGTTGCTCTATTTTTTTAAAATTTAAAGCAAGTAGAATTTGATCAAAGTTCCTTTGATAACACATTTGTCATTTAATGAAGGGTGTACCAAAGCTTGTTAAGGTTGCTTTGCTCCTTGACTATCCCCAATAATATGTGATTAAAATCTTTAAAGATGGACACATGGCATTGGCAACAGCTGCTGGGTCCTTCCATTGTAAGGATTTGTTCTGCTGAAAACACCCGGAGGGCACAAAGGGTTGGGCACCACCTCTGGTATCCTGAAAAAAGCTCAGACTCTTCCTGATGTTATTTTGAACGTTCATCTAAATATTTCACATTTTGTAGAGAAGCAGGGGGAGACCAGGAAGAACACGTGCTGTGCTGGGAAGTCACGCAGCTACTGGGGGCGGATTTTGAGTTTGAGTCTAGGTCTCCTCACCCCTTTGTTCTAAATCTCATCTGCCTCCTCTTAAAAGTCACATTTACAGCAGCAGGTTCAGATGCTTACGTGGCTTTTACATATGACATTTGCAAATGACTTTTACATATACTCTCTATTTGGTCTCTCAGCAATTCCTTGAAGTGGGTAAGTTAGAGATCTCTTTTGTCGAGTGTATAGATGTGAAGAAAAAAATTCAGAAAAAAAAATGTGGTTAATTTCCAAAATGTATGAATCCTGTCAAATTGTACTTATCCCCCCCCCCCCCCTTTTTCTAAATATATTTTAGCGGCCATTTTCGTGGTGCAGAAAAAGTATGATATAACAGCCTTATGAAGGAGAATAATGGCATTTAGGTATAATTTCTGGAGATCCCACTACTTCTTGGAAAGTGTTTGTTGGTTGCAGTGCTGGTCATTTATACTAATTATAAAATAATTCAATATCCTAATATTAATAATATTCTATACTGCATTATGAAATGCTACATTGGTCTTAATGAAATCATACAGAATACTGCAGAGAAATGGTTGTATATGGATATGATATAGTAGGTCAAAATAACGTTTCCTTTTCCCAAAGATATATTTTGTTGGATATTTCACATTTTAGCTGGTACATTAATGTAATGTACCATTAATTACATTAATTACGGAGGGTGAGATAGTGTCTGTAAATCTGTGATCCTATGTAATAATATTGTGGGCTACATTCGTATATGACAAGCCATGGTCCATTAATTCCAGAGCACGTTCACCAGTGAGTTGTTCTAACCCTATTCTTAACATTTCTGTCTAATATGAATTACTGTGCTTATTATCCTTGATCACTCTTGGATTGGCATGCTTGAAGGCAGTTTATTTGTTTTTTCCTCTTAAAGAATTCTTATTGCTTTATCTAAGCTGTTTTATCTCATGTGTTTAATAAGACTTGTTCATTTTTTAAAGAGTTATTTTGAATTTCCCCGAACTCACTGCTAGTTCCTTTTCCCAACATGCTTTTTGGATAGGAGACACCTTTCTTTCTCCGAAGTCTATGCCACCCACACAAATTTTATGTGAAAAATCAATACAGCGAAACAATTTTTGATAGAACACTCTACGTGAAGGGGCACATTGACATGTCAACAAGGGAAGGTATTTGAGCCACGTTTAATTGAAGAGGCTGTTGAACAAAAATAAGAGTCACTTCATCCCATCTATTTTGAAGAAAATTGCAAATCATTGCTTCTCAAAAGGTTTCAACTCATAATACTGAGCATACTACTGACCTTCTGAAAGGACCATTTCCAACAAAGGACACACAAATGAGATTCTTACCATGTCTGGTCTTACCTACATGTCACATTTTTACTTATACTTAAATGAGGGTACAGCTGCATAATAAACAATAACTATTTCGCACAAGTACCTGATGTTTTTAGTTGCTTGTTATATTGATATCTGAATACAATTTGAATTATTTAACATTAAAATTAGTTCAAACACTTTCTCATCAAGTATTTAAAACCACATGTACTCTCAAAGCTCCAGTGTCGAGAATGCATTACTTCATGGGGTTTTCCATCCTACCTCTGGGCATACTGACAGAAACTGTTTTATTATACAGAATTGAAATCTATCTCCCCTTTGCGTTTCCCTGGGAAGACTGAGTTGCTTGGCGTAGATCGATATGGACAGTAGTCACCGATATGTGTGTTACAAAAACCTAATGCAGGTTATTAATTTGGGGGCCACCACAGGATCCAGGACTTACAATCTTCAGCTCACTTTTTCTAACACGACCTCGTTTTCTAAAAATATGTTTTTAGGTATGAAATAAGTGTAGGGAGGGGACACATGCTTTTAAAGAAAAAGTTGTTTAGCTTGACCTCTTACTACCAATGGACTTTCTGACTCACTCTAGAAGAATTCTGTTGTGTTACAGTAATATCCTTAGGTATAAAGAAGAAGAGATTTTTTTTTTCCAGGTGGATTTTGTGGTGAAAGAGTGTTAAAAATCGTATTCGTAGTGATCATTTATTTTTTTATTTGTAGAATATACCTTTACAACCTACACAGTGCATCGGATTTCAGTACTCCTAGGAAAAACTGTTTATGAAGTTATGTTGTAAATAAAACAGAACCATATTTAACAAACTATAGAAATGATCCCTGAAATATAGTCTTCAGAACCATATTTAATAACGTTAGGTTGACCCCACTTTCCGTGAAATGATGTACAGAAATGCTAAAAGTCTCAATGACATAGGCAGCCTCATATAACGTTTTTCTTCACACTGTGAACGGTGGCTAGAATTTGCATCAAAAAGGTTTGGATGATTGGCTGGCAGCCGCCTAGAAACACTCATGAATTTGTTGCTTACTGAACAGCCCGATAAATCTTCCTTCACAATCTCAAGTTTCTCATGCACCATCTTCTTCAGCTGAATTCAAATACAACCACAGCTAATTATGTCAACGCTTTGTCCAGTCCTGATACAAAGCGACCAACTGGGCTTCCAGGCTGAAGGAGGGGTGACTGGAGAAGGGGAGAAGAAAAAGATAGGTGGAGATTATTACTGAACAAGTAGATATAGCAGGAAACAAGTTGAATTTCTTAGTAAGTCTATTATTTAAATACTACTCTACTTGTTATGACTTCTGTAATACTAAATCTTGTCTAATATTCTGACCCTCCAAAATTACAGTGAAATAAAATTATGGATCATGAAACATTGGAATTCTACTCTATATTCACAGGGGTGGGCTAAAGTAGCTTTACAGTGTGAGTACATGAAACACAGAGTTTATTCTTGTTTTATTATTTATGAATTATTGAACTAATTCGTATTGTAACTGTAAACCTACTTTTGCCTACCCCTGTATTATTAATTATACATAAGGACCCATTCTATATCATCATTGAACATTGAAAAATTATAAAACATAATATGTACCATGGTAATATTCAAATATTTCTATAATCCATGTTAAAAAATAAATAAAAATAAGATTTGGGTCATGAAGCTGAGTTTTTAAAAGTTGCCAATTGGTTGGTAAAAAAAGTTAGAAAATTATTAAGTATAAATGAATGCTTTAATTCCAGTGTGCCCTTTATCCCTTCATAGTTCATGCCCTATTTTGAAACTTCATGTGACTATGTTTTTGTCCCCCCTCACTTCCCCCGCTGCTGCTACATATATACAAGCCTTTTGGGCTCTTTTTGCTCATAGACACTTCCAAACCACTTTGCCCTGCCTTCCGGCTGGGTCTGCTAGAAGGGACCGAGGAAACATAGGCCCGGTCGCCAGGTCTGAGTTTAAAATCGCCCCGTGAGGCTGCCGGCTGAGGGGCTCTGCGTGGAGATGGCGTCTCCGCTGTGGGATTATCTGCATTGTGGACTGTGTGGGAAAGTCCTGGATATGCTGCCCGGCTGCGCTGCTGGCCTCTTCTGTGAAAGGAAGGGCTGAACTCTGCTCGCGCGAGCTGACCTGTGGAGTGTATTAGCTGATCAATGGTGGATTGTTTTGCTAAAAACTATATTTTTAAGTAGCAAGCCAGATAAGAAGCTTCTTATCCAGATGGTAGCTCTGTATCTGGCCGGGGAAACAAAAGCAACAGTTTATTCCTTTCTGATGTCTTGTTTATTCTCTAGAAATGAATTCTATGATATGTCTTTCAAATGCGTTTTTCTCCGCTGATCCAAACTTGTTTTGATCATGTGAAACACTTCAGATTTGCCTTTTCTCTGTAGTTTTTTTTTTTTTTTTTCTTTAACAGTATAAAATATTAAACCAAATAGTTTTGCTAGCTGATATTGATGACACATGATTTTGGCTTTTATCTTCAGTAGAAAATCAATGTGTCACAGCATTCACTAAGAAAAAGGTATGAGACCTCTATGTAATTCTGTCAGATGATTGCTTTATCTTGATTTATGCCTTTGAACTTTTTCTCATTCAGCAGAAAATACGGTATCTATCTCTGTGAAAGCAAAGTGATCTATACCAGTTTATGCCGTGAGTGCCCCTTCCAGGGTTGTTTATGGAACATATTAAATCGTAGCAGATCAGAGACACAATACCTTTTATTTTTTTTTCCTTAAACATGTCATATTGATGATTTTGGTTTATATCCAAATGTTTATATTACAATCTTTAGTAAAAATATCCCTTCATAAAAAGGGGATTGTAAATGATTTTTATTTTAGTGCTTCTCAGAATTTCAGGTTATAAAAATAAATTCAGTGTTCTTGGTCTGACAGAATTGTCCTTATAGCACAATCGCCATTTGGAACCTCTAGGAGTTATTCTGAAATTGTTTTCAGACAGCATTGTCAACTACTGCCAAAGTGAAATTTGATTATAAATTTTCGAAAACTAATTTCGCGAAATGGAATTCAAGATAGTATCTTCCAGGGACTTTTTTTTTTTTGGTACATGCCCCTAGTGGGAACCGAACCCGGGACGCTCTGGTCCACAGGCCAATGCTCCAACCACTGAGCTAAACTGGCCACGGCTTTTTTTTTTTTTTAG